CTACGACTACTACGACGACTACGACTCCTAGTACTGCGACCACTGTTCTACAATTACGGATATATAGGACTTAGTTGCTATTGCATGCTGCCGGCTATGTGCCAACAATGCATCTTTTCGGCCGCCTTTTGGGAAAGTCCGCAGAATGCAATTCAATCAAAGCAGCTTCTTCTTCTTCTTTAAGACTTGGAATGGTTCTGCCGGCAGCTAGCAGTTAGCAGAAAAGTCATCGAGAGCATTGGTACCGTTCGAAGCGGGGGTTGCAGTTTGCAGGCCTTGATTGGTGTTCCGACATGCAGGAGGCTTGGACTGCGCCTGTGACGTGGCTGCGTCGCACACCTGCAATCGAAGCCGTGCTCTGCTCCAGCTGCAGGAGATTGCTAGTGTTTCTTCTGCAGCGGAATTGTAAACTGCCGTGTGTACAAGTTGTTTGAGCCAGTGAACGATCTACAGCTTAATCTCTTTAACTATAGATGTGGTCTAAACGGCAGCAAAGCGTATTGTACTGCCAAACACGATACAAGGGTCAGCTAGCAATCGGTTTTTCTCGGAGCGGAGATATCATGCTGCTTGCTACAAGTTCGAGAGTTAACCCTACTTGTCTTAGGCTTCGCAAAAGATGTGCACAATTGGCCCTCCAATTCATGGCGTTCGCGCTTCCCAAGGCTGCGCCTTTTCCGAGAAGTTCCAGGACAGGTCCTTGTGAAGGACCGGGGGAAAGGATGGTGCTTTTAGAGGACTATGGCATTATGGTGTGCTCCTAGGTAAGGTCAAGTCTGCGGCTTTGGAGTGTGTCCACAGGTTTCGTGGCGAATGGCTCCAGCCACAACTGATTAGTTCGATCGAACCAAGAAAAACTTGAATCATGCGCATCTGTCCAAAGCAAAGCGCAACCATTCACTGTTACGCAGCTCCGCGTGGGAAAGACGAATGAAGCATATGCAAGACTCATGCCCTTTGTTGCCTGGGAACACGTGCGCCGAAGACCACAGAGACGAAGGGTTGCTGTCAAGGACTCCTTCGCATCCCCCCCTGAACTCTAAGGGCCCAAAAAGCCCAACCTCCAGATAGAACTCCAGTATCCCGTACGTACATTTGCCCTTTCAGTGACCCTTGTAATAACTTCCAAGTCCCAAGACCCTCCATCTACCCTCTATTAGACCCGAAATGCCCATTATTTGGGACCATATACCCTAACCCTAAACCCTAAACCCTAAACCCTAAACCCCTATACAGGGAGGGTCCGGGTCAGGATTTCCAGACATGCTTGCTCGCCTCAGCCCGGGCGCTCCTACCGGATGGCTGGGACTCCATGCACGAGAGTGCCTGGCTTCCTGGATGGACGAGATCTTGGGGTAATATACAGAGGGGCTTGAATAGTTACCTATACTATTTTGGGGGGTTCCTTATTCTAGTTTTAGTAGTGTAGTGTACCCGAATACCCCATTCTAATTTATTAAGGCCTCTACATTAGGGTCTTAGGCTTAGGCTTCTGGGGTTTATATGGGGTTCGGTATGTGCTTCTGAACTTCATCATTATTTCGCATTTTCTGTCTACCGCGGGTGCGCATATGTGATGTGACCACGCAGAGATGCACCCGATTGAAACAAGCGCGAGTCCCAAGACTCGCGTGCCTGTGTTTTTTTTTAGTCGGCCTATGTTGGCATCAATGAAGCCTTTCACATCGCGGCAGTTGCAGTAAGTTGGCGTGAAGACTAGAGTCTAACAGCAGCGACAAGAGCAAGATAAAGAGGACCCAGCACGACGAGCAGCAGGAAAAAGGACAGACGTGTCAGAGAATCCGGCAAAAACGGTAATAGTGGGCAGCTGGTGGGAGATGCTACTGACCCTGATCACGAAGATGATAAAATGAGGGTATAGATGGTCACGATCATCTCTCTGCACGCCACGGCCCATGGGCCGTGTCACGTCCGCGCGGGTCCAAGGCTACCTAACGCGCGCCATTTGGCGCGGGATGCCGACCCGGGGGTCCTGCGCATCCGCTGAGACTGAATCTCAAGCACATTAACACTAAAGAACTGCGACTACGGCCATCTCACGCTGTACAGTTTGGTGGCACTTGAGCTTGCGTAGTTGGCCGAGCTGGTTGGAGACATCAGTCAAGCAATGACCCGGCGTACCACACAGAGTGCGTTAACATCGCTGAAGAAAGTGGGCAAGACATGACACTGAAAGACCCTGCCGAGCGCATACACAGGAAGCGCATGCAAGGCTTCAAGACTCTACTAGAACCTGGAGCATCCTTGTGAAGCAATATGCACGTAACTTTGAGTCCCGGAGCAGAAGCGGTAAACCAGAGTAGCCTAGCCCCTGCCGATCCAAGATGGAGCGGATCTGAATGAATGGGTCACGATCATGACGTGAACATCATGGCCATTGTCATGTGCATGAGGATGGCGAGGATTGTATCATGAATTACGCAGCTTGTGTTGTCAATGCTGAGTGTGAGGAAGAGTCATATGCAGAGCTTCATGACCACTACAGGGTAGATTGTACCTATCGACGAATGCAGGTCAAAGCTTTCTAGGCTCAGAATCCCTCTTTAGTGGCAATCTGTGGCTGGAGTGTTTTATGCCAAGGTAGTCACAGGTCCCCTCGTAGTTCCTTTTGGGATTATCTTGTAGGAGTCTAAACATGAACCCCCAAAAAGGAACTGCCATGGGGCCTGTGGGTAGCTTCGCTGTTTTTTTTGTCCAGTTTCGGGCAGACACGAGCTTCAAAGGGCAGTTTCAACCTATCCGGTCGCAGAAAACCCTAAACCCTCCAGGTACCTCCTATATAGGGCCCTAGGGGCTGAAGTACCCTATATAGTAGGTACCTGGGGGGTTCGGGAAAGCCAGCCGAGGATAGCTGTCTGGACGTGCATCGCTGATCGCCTTGAGCAATCCCTTCCACTGCCATCGAAGTATCAGAAGCCAGTTCAGAACTTTGTTGCAGGCCTGGGGGGCCACGGACAGTTTCGAGTTTCATTGCTTTGCTTTGGTTTCATCTGGATTCCCAGAGCCGAATCTCCCTGGACCCCTGAGTCCCTAAACCCTACTGTGCACTCGAAAACCCCCTGAGGGCTGAGCACGGATCAACGGCAGAAGCTGGGAAAGCGCAGCTTCGAGCGGCTTTTCCGTGAGCACGAGCAGGCGACCCGAAAGACGTCGAAGCGGGTTCCTTTTAGGTTTAGGGTTCAGGGGTTCTCTGCTTTGGGGGTTGAGTGATGAGGGATTTAACGGTTGTGTGGGTCTGTAGGGATTTCAGGGTCCAGGATTGAACGTTGCCGGCATGAACTGTGAGTCGCAAAAGTGGTGATATGAAGCTAGAGAACAGTAAGAACTCTCACCACGGAGGCCGTCACAAGCCGTGTCTTCTGAACCACCACGCGGTTCCATCGCCAGTACCAGCGGGCATCGTCAACATCGTCATCCCCACTGCCTTGCGTTCCATCTTCGCCCTCATCATCGTCGTCGTCACTATTATTGTAAGGAGTGTCTTTCACGGCTGAGCATGCGCACTAGCATGTGAGTTGATAATTCCGAGGTTGTTGGTTCATGGCACCCTTCTAGCGCAATTCTTTCATGATTCTGGTCGTAAGGTCTCCAACCACTTCAACCAATCCTGGATGAGATTGGCTTTCATCATCAGCAAGACGCTCGATGCTCGCCCGAGAAGTTCTGCACAGGGGCATGAGCTCAAGGGCCGGTGCACTCCCTGAGCTGTGCTGATGTCCATGTTTGCTGTTCATACCGGTGTAGTTGTACAGTCAGTCTATCGCTACGACAGCTGCCGCTACAAATTCACTGCCAAACCTACTACCACAAATGCTGCTGCTGCTGCTGCTGCTGCTGCTGCTGCTGCTGCTGCTGCTGCTGCTGCTACAACTGCCACTACCACTACCACCACTACTACCACTACGACGACGACGACGACTACTACTACTACTACTTCTGCTACATCCGCCTGCTTCTGTGAATACTGCTTCTACAATTGCCCTGCGACGACTGCTGTTCTTTTTCAGACTACTGTTTTGTTTGCTCAACCTTTTGCTATTCATCCGCTCCCCTGATCATCTCGTGGTAGCAGACGAGTCTTGAGTTCAGGACATGGCCGTGCGGCTTTTCCACGAGCCGGCGCAGATGTTCGATGAGCTGACGCAGTTGGGGCTGAAGCACATCATGTTTCAGGCAGGATGCTTGATATCTTCGCTATGTGGAGAACATTGGAAATACATAGTACAGAAGTCTGCCTAATCCGTATTAATAGCCCCTCACAGTCCATAAATAGTTATCATAGAGCGGCCCACAATCCTGTTATGACTAATTACTTGTTAAGGGCCCCATATTAGATCGCGGTTCTTCACACTTCTGGAGGCTGACTCCCAGTTCTTCCAGCCCTGGGTCGCGGCACTGGTGGCAGAAATCCAGCTGATATGCCAGGATGAGAAAGTGCCTTTGCTTGGGATACCATGATGGGTATGTTTCCTGCCCGTTGCAATCAAGGCACCGTTGCCTGCCGGCAATTTCTTTCTTGACTCGGGAGAGTGTTTAAGAACAGGGTCATTTGCATTTAATTGCAGGGGTGACGTGTGCATCTCGCACATGCTTTCAATCGACCTCAATGAGCGTTTGGGATTGTTGTTAGAGGCACCCAATGAGTGGTTCAAGCATATAGGAATAAAGGTCCAGGGCTTTCTCAGCACGCAATACCGCTTGCTGCGAACCTCCTGCGCGCCGTCTTGGCAACCTGCAGTTCAGGGTATCTTGATGAACAGCTTCGCAAAACCCTCGTAACCAACCGAAAAAACTCCGCAAAGCAGGGTATAGTAACCAGACCACAATGTGTCCCTGCCGGAGGTCGTTGATGCTATGAACTTTGCACTCTGCGTGATTGGTAGCATCATCGGACAAGCACTGGAAGCTGGTGCCACGCCCATACTGAAGGCCAGCCGTCATTTTCCAGCTATCACAATCAAGCGGCGCCCACTGTAAATAACCATAAGTCTGCTTGCCATTATTGTTTCATTTACTCAATGGTGAATAGGCTTCCTTCTGTTAGCCCTCTAACCATACAATGTCCAGTGACGGTGTTTTGTATGAGCATGTTTTTGTTCTACCAGCTTTCTTTGCGTGCTTGCCGACTGGTGAAGTAGCTCGGAGTTTGGCCACCGCAAGCGGAGACCCGCTGAGTCGTCAACATTCAACATACGACAAGAGTCAGAAACTACATGGTGGGTGGCCTGTTGGCGCCCCGACACTTTGAGAAAACCGAGAGCACGAAACCACTGGATAACGCGGCATAAGATGCCTGTGAGCTTCACGAAGGGCTTTAGGGCTTGGAGGCAAGTGTAGCTGCCTCCAAGCCCAAACTATCTGGTTTGTCCCAAAGCCCTTCCTGAGGCCTACATGCATATTTTGCCGCGTTGTCCAGTGTTTTCGGATTCGACGTCACTGAGACAAAGAATATTCTGGGAACCGCGAAGGAGTAATATAGGGACCGAAACAATAATTACCAACACTGTTTTGGGCACTCCTTATTAAAATTATAGTACAATGCGCCCCAAAACCCTGTTCTAATTGTTAAGGCCCCTACATGAGCGTGTTTGTTGTCATGCCCGCCCCCCTCCCCGCCACCCCCCGCTAACACCCGTCGAAGCCTGGAGAGGCTGGCTGATGACCTTCGACCTGGCCGGACCGTAACCGGTTTAGTCAGGGTCTAGGGTTTAGGGTTTCGCTAAGTGAGACCTTTGGGTTTAGTCAGGGGTCGTTGAATAGTAGCGATATCATCTGAAACGATACAATAGACCTTCCGGTTGAAGGACATGAGCAAAGCTGACACCATCTCAATTATATACCCCCAAGCCCAAGGAACCCTGGAATACCCCAGTTACCGTGGATGCACCCTAAACTACCCTTAATTACTCTTCGTGACCTGAAAATGCCTTCCTTGGAGGCCATTGTCACGGACGATGTCAAGGCCAGCTGAATCTTCATCATTGTGTTTCATTCCGGTATTACAATGAAACCTATCTTCGTGCCGTCAATTGCGTCCGGTGAGGCCTTGAAGAAGGCATTGGCTGCGACACCGAGGGGCCAGCGGGCTGAAGCCGTCCTGGGTCGTGGCTACACGTAGGCTCGGCCGAGGTTTGTGATAGGGGCGTTACATTCTCATATAATCACCCCTAACCCTCCAGGTACCTCCTATATAGGGCCGAGGGGCTCTAGTACCCTATATATATATATATATATATATATACATATATATATATATATATATATCTCGTAGGTACCTGGGGGTTAGGGTACAGCATACAAACCTGCAAATATGCACGGGTCAGCCAGCAAGGTAACAGGCGACCTGCACGGGGCCAGACCGTCTCTGGGGGGATTCCTCGGTGTCGGCGTGTCAGATAGCTGGGCTATTTTCGGTTCAGGTTTGGAGGGCTTGAACAAGTCCTCCCCCAAATAGAGGTTTGAACAGTGTTTTTACAGCCATACAAAAGCCGAGGCATACGAAATGTTTTGAAATACATTCAGGAAACTTTTCACAATACTCTTCAAACCCCGCGCCTTAGAATGCCTCGCCCTTGACCTGGAGGCTGTTCTGCGCAAGGACGAGAGACGGAGGTGTTTGACTCCGTCCCGGCATGGTTTCTGAAGCGACGAGATGATATTTTCAGCCTAGTCATCAGTCTCCTTTTAAGCCTAAGGGTCCAAGTACCTAATTAGCATAGACTCTCCAAAATAGTACCCTACATAGTTATTGTCCCAAACCCAGGTACCTATAATTATTGGGTCATTTGGACCCTTGGGGTAAGTTATGTGATGGCATGGGCTCCGAAGCTGAGGTTTGTCGCCTCGTTAGACCGGAAGCTCCCCCAGCCGGTTCAGGATTTGTGGTCGACTTTTACTGGGCTGCGCATGCTGTGTGCTGTCGCATGCTCGAGATGCCAAAGGTACTCATCAGACGCAGGTTACAGCTGCTCTGTCGTGTTGCCGGTCCTAACAGAAGTAACCTGTGCTTTCCAACTTTCCATTTGCTCGGCGCATGCGTCGTGCCGCCAGACCTGATGGCCATGTCGGCCCTCGCAGTGTCAGGTCTAGGTGTGTGCAAAGGCCAAGGTTGGGGTGGAGAGGAGTAAATACCGGGGTAGATGAGTTTGTATGCTGCTACATATGCCAGTAGAGCCGTCTGCACATCATTAAGCAATACTACACCTCAACCCTCCGAGTCAAAGTTACAGCCTTCATGGTCCCGCTGTAGAGCTCCCCTGACAACCTTCATTTTTGATGCCAGAGACGTCTTGTGGGCAAGGGTCCTGGCTTCAGATCTGCAGATGCTCATGCTGTTTGTTGCAATCGCTGCTATGGTTGTACACTCTGACAAAGAGACATGCATGAGTTGCATGTTTGAATTTTTCCGTTGTGGTTATTGTAATTATCTGTGCTACTTTTGTTCGTCCTCTCTGATTACATTCTTGACAAATGGCTGGTCTGTCGTGTCATGCCAGGGTACCCTAAGCCCTAAAACCCGAAACCTGAAACCCTAAAACCCTGAAGAACTTGGTGATTTGTCTCGGAGTAAGCTTACCCATGTCCACAGGATGTGCTGCACTGGATGTACAGCTCCAAAGATCCGGTGGCGGTGTGCGATTTTGGCATGACCACAAAGAAAGCACAGCTATGGCGAGACCCCATCGCATCTTATTTCCGCCCATACCGCCCGCACCGGTCATTGTTTTAGCAGCGTGTTGCATCGCGGGCCGTCACCCCCAGATTTGTCTGAATGCTGCTTGGCAAAATGGCTCAACCACCCGGTATCGCTGCTCGAGAGTATGCCGGCTGCAAGTAGCTTATTGGAATATGCTTTTCTCCTCTTCATCCGGACATCTAGCCTGAAGGGTGGACAAGCATGCCCACGTGCATTCCTTTCGGTCTTCTCTGAACAACGCTAAGGGGTCCTCGACCCAAAATTTTGAGCCCACGTTCGGAAAGCCATGGCAACACATGTACTATAAACTATCTAGTTACCGGTGAGTTTGTAGATTCAGAGAAATTATGTCTGCTTCTATCGAGCGGCTCTAAATGCAGTGATTCAGAGTCCAGCCGCACTGTGCTTATGAAAAGCAGTAATGTAGTCCAGGATCCTCCCTGTACCCTCATATAGGGGTATATGGTCCATTCAGGGTCTAATAGAGGGTAGATGGAGGGTCTAGGGCATTCTTTCCGTTGCTGGTGGCTGCTATCCGTTGAGGGGCCAGGGCTCAGGGTCTTGGCGCCGAGGCCAGCGAGTCCACAGCGCCGCTCCCCTGGGAGTCGTCCGATCCACCTTCGTGTTCAGGGTTTAGGGGCACCTTGAATTTGGGAGCCTGTGAAATTCAGAACCCGGCTTCAGGATGCATTCTACTTTTATCATTCTGTAGCTGCCCCTGGTCTCACAGTACGTAAACCTCAGGTTCCGCCGGTACTGTCAAACTACGGGTCGCTGAGAAGTCGCAGTCTGAAGGAGTACCTGGATGCCTTCCTGCCTAATTATCCAAAAGCAAGATTGGCTTACACCGGGTTCATGCAGGTTGCCCTAACCCCCCAGGTACCTACTATATAGGGTACTAGAGCCCCCTAGGGCCCTATGTAGTAGGTACCCGGGGGGTCCCTAAACCCTAAACCCAAAACCGTACCTGGGGGGTTAGGGTTGTGTCATGCGTGTACCCAAGAGAGTCCGGTGAGCAAAGACAGGCAGGGCGACTGAAGCTGCGACTTAAAGAGCGACCCTGCGCTACCTATAGGCCCCATAGTAGTTCCTTTTTGGGATTCCCGAATAGGATGCTAAATATGAACCCCAAAAAGGAACTACTTTAGGGCCTATGGGTAGGAGGAAGATTAGAGCTCCTTTTCCCCCCAAGAGCTTTCCCCTGGCAAGGGGCAGACTGCAACATTGAGAGGGGTATTGTAAGAAGCCTTGATCAATCCAGCGAAGCAAGGACAAAGGACCCTCAGCAACAGATATTTCCCGCGCGGAAACGGCCAGTCAAATCAGTACGATTTGAGTTAAATTGCAGGCGTGCGCAGTGCGCAGTGGCTTGTCGAGGAGTGAGTTTGGTCGAAAGGCTCCGTTTGTATTGATGGTTGCGCTGCCTGGGGATCAGGAAGTTTTCCAAGGAGAGAGACTCCGGGCATTTCATTGGATCAGGATAGCCCAGTGGGAAGCGATTATGGGATATTGTGCTCAGGTCACCAACGGCACAGGCCCTGCACTCAGTTGTGGGGTATGGCTCGCATGTAATTTCTTTGTTTTCACGGTTGCACGTGCCTAAGGTGCAGCCACGCAGGAATAGTGCCAACGAAAGCATTTCAAGGCTCTATGTTGGTAACTGGGAAACACTGAGCCATTGCCACGCAAAGCAGAGCTGCGTTGGCAGACCTGTCGGCTCACGTGGCTTTGCCGGTAGAATGGGGACTGCTTAAGGGTCGAGGTCACAGTCGTTCGTTTTGTCTGTTCGACAACACTTCTGGGTAAGCTTGAGCCCGGCAGTCCTTTGGGTCGGATGTCTCGGGGCATTTCGGGGTGTCCCCATGCAACTGATCCCATGTCCCCACTCGCCTGGAGGAGTGTGGGAGTAATCCAAGCCCTGCGCTCCAAGCGGCCCCAGGCGCTCGCGGAGGTCCGAAGGAAAGACCTCCCCGGGCCCGGCTCCCGGCGATCGTCGTCACTTTGCTCCTTTTTGGGTGTTTTTCTTGCTGCCTTCTTCCCCTGTTCTTGTCGGCTTGCGTGTTGTGCGGCCAGTGTGCGAGCTCGGGCAGCAGGAGCAGGATGTTTCATCTTAGTCGGTGCTGCGATGTTTGAGAGGGCTCTTGCGTTCCTGGTTTTGCCAGTCTGCGATGGAGAGTTGTGTCGTGATGGGGCGCAGAACCAAAACGTGAAATTGCCGAAATGTGAACCGGCGACTTAAATTCCTAAGCCCGTTGAGGATCAGGCCCGGTGACTATACAGGCCCGAAAGACCCCGCCTTTCGACGCGTGCAGAACTCTCTAAGCTCTTGTAGATTTTTACAAACTCTAAAACACAACAACTCCCGGCCAAAATCTTTTCAGAACTTAAAGTTCTTGCGGAGCTCAAAACGGATGGAGTCAGGCAGCCGCTGAAACTCAGCGGGCCCGGTCCTCAGCCGGAGTGACCTGCACGGTTTCTTGAAGTCGTTAGGGGATGTTAGGGGCACCTTCTACTTTGTATGTAACATGTTATAGCATTTTTATGTGTATATACATATGTCTGGGTTCGCCGGGCACGGATCCTATTCGTGGAGTTCTGAGTCGCTTCTAACTTCCATGCAGCCGCAGATGCGTCGGATGCGTGTGAATCTGTTCATGGCTACAGGATACCCTGCACGCGGCTGATGGATCTTGGCTGTGCTTCTAGTATGTGTCCCGCCTCAGAAGCTGCTAGCCGCCCAAGCCCTAAACCGTAAGCCCCCTTCAATCCTAAACCCCATGACCTTAAACCCTAAACCTTAAACTTCAAACCCTAAACCGCATACCCTAGACACGAACAGCCCTGGACCCTCAAGCAGCCTCATGGTTGCTTCTGAGCGTTTATGTCATTATCATGTTTTATCCTCTAAGGGACTCTGAAACCGAAACTCTACAACACTTGTCGAGTCTGTATTCTAGTTCTTTTTGGGGTTACCTTATAGGACCCCGAGTATAAAACGGATCAAATGAAAAAAAAGACGACAATGGAGACTAGAGGTATTCGCACCATAAACCCCTACATAAACCCCAAAAACCCCCAAACCCCTAAGCCCCCAAAACCCCCAAACCCCTCAACCCCTGAACCCTAAGTCGCCTTAGGGTTCCCTTCTTAGCCCTCCCCAGCTTATCCTGCTCAGGCCAGATCTCGATGCAGTGGAAACTGCCTGGTCCCAGGGGGGGTGCTCTTTTCGAGACTGCTCTTGTATGTGGGCAGTGTTCTAAATTGGGGTCCTTTTTTTTATGTATAAGGGTGCCGTATCAAATTGGGGACCAACAAAGGGATCCTAATTTAGAGAACTACCCTATTCTATGGTTTTTGTATAGACTCATCATAGTATGATTTCTAAACTCGTATTATGAGCGATAGCGAGAAGTGTACCAGGAGACTGGTTATGAGTAGTTTTCGCAAGGATAGCAGCAATGCTACATGGACTCAGACTGGGCAACAGCTATTCGCCCAGCAAGGGCAGCAACAGCAACACCAATGTATTGTTGATACAGTGTATGATTATTAGAGTGAATATGTTCATTCCAAGTTTCGTAAACTGCTGGCAGTGGTCTGCATCAGCGAGAGCGACGTGGGTGTAGGAACGACAGGACCCCGCCTGCCAGTAGCTGCCAAGCAGAAGTTCGGCCTGCCCCGACCTGATAACCACCGCTTGTTGATCTTCCCGTCGCAGCCCGCAGAGCAAGTGGCTTAGTGGTTTGGGTGTTTCCCTGAAGATATTCCTGCAGAGATCCTGCAGTGGTGGTTTCCGCGTCTGAGGGCCTTCGCAATTAACGAAAGATCTGCGTAGATACCGGCAAGAACGATACGCGAACATCAACTGTTAGTCATCGTGTCGATGTTTGGTCAGGTCCATGTATGTATGTACATATATACATGTAAGGACCCGCTCCTAAAGCTCTTGGTCATGATGAATCCCACACTCTCAGGCCAGCGTGGCGAGCTCTCGTTCAGCTGGGTCCAGGTGAGGGTTGTTTCTGTTTTTGACGATGACAGCGTTTGCTATTCCTGTCTACTGCCCGCAAAAGCAGCAGTATATGTTCTAAAAAATATACCACCGTAGTCCTCGTCGTCGTCGTCGTCTGAAGAACGAGAAGAGGAAACAGTGTGCGAGAGCCATCATCAGTGTCATGTTCGCTGCCTTTGTAATTAATTTAGGCTTTGTGGGGCTCTCATGTTTTGCTTTTGCACTCTGAGATTTTTATTGGTAGAGAAGCTGTTTAGACAAGAAGGCTGCGAAATCTCAACTGTGAGTGGAGATCGTGCCAAATCCCCTGGTGAGCTGTGCCAGGTCCAATGTCTCGACGGTGTCCGTGAACAGTGAGTTCATCCAGGACAGATGGAGCGGCGGTCGCATGGCGCGCATTCGGCGGATCCATGTGGACC